CCCCAAGGCCAGGACAGGGACTTTCCCGGGAGCCTCCCGAGGGACAGGCCCAGCTGACTCCTAGACTCCGGCCCAGAGAGACCCACTGGACTGCTGACCTGCAGAACAGTAAGGCCGTGGTTTCACGTGTTACGTCGCTGTGCGGTTGTGCTCACGGGGTCCCAGGGCCGAGAGGGTCCTCAGGCCGGCGGTGGCTTCAGTGGGAGCAAATGCGTGGCCGTGGGGACTTGGTGGGCTCTGGGCTCAGAGGACAAGGAGGAAGGCGAGGTGTTTCAGGAGTTGAGGGGGGCAGGGCAGAAAGTGGAGTTTGCAGGACCCTGTGGGGTTAGTGGGAGACCAGCAGAGGCGTGAGAGTCTGGCGGGAGCAGGGAGAACAAGCAGGATTCGCCCTGAGTGGAAGGCCGGGCGCTCAGGAGTTGGGAAGAGGGTCTGGGCCCCCCCACTTCAAGCCCCTCAGGCACAGCCTAGACCCCAGGGCAGAGGTGTCCCTGTTGGGCCAGGGGAGGGTCCCCGGGGTAGATTCGGAGGAGCCCTGCCCAGGGCGTGTGTGGACGAGACACGGCAATGGGGGTTCAGGCACGCCTGCAGGTGTATTGGGGCGCCCAGCTGGGGAGGAACCCCACAGTGTGTTGGCCGCTGGGGCCCAGCCACAGAGGCTCCCAGGATGCCCCCAGGATCCGTCTTGTGTAAAGGGCTAGGCCCTGCCGGGCTCATCCCTGCCCTGAGGGACCCACCAAGCGTCTGGCAGACAGGAGTGGGGTGGAGGGCAGGACGTGACTGCAGGACCCCAGAGGCGGCAACAGCCTCAGGCTCCAGACCTCCAGGGGGTCAGGATCGTTATGGCTTTCTCCAGCAGGGGGAACTGGCTCTTTCTAGAAGACTGGCTGGGAAATGCTGATGTGTGAATAGAAATGAGTAAACTGAGCCACATGGGACAGAAGAAAGGTCTCTCTTGACTCAGATGTTTGGTTTTTAAAATGTGTTAAATATTAGGAAATGATTAATTTTCCGTGCATTCCAGATGAATCTGTCGTTCTCAGTGTCCTTGCGTGTGTGAAGCTTGGACGTGTGTGTGTGTGTTCAGGACACAGTCTGGAAGGGCCTGGCGCGGGTGGGGTGTGGCACACGGCCGTGGACAAATAAATACGGCCTTCTCGCCCTCGTGGCACCTTCAGGTGAAAGAGCATGAACGAGCCAGCAGCTCCCCGAGGGGGGAATTCTGTACACGTGGCGATGAGGGCACGCGGGGCCGGGGTGGGGGCAGAGCCACATCCCTCTGTGGGTCAGGGAAGCCCCACCCCGAGCCCGGGATGTTTGGCTGGAGACGTGAAGGGTGAGTGCCGCCGTCTGGGTCCCTGAAACTCTGGGGTCAGAGCCTTTCGGGTCCTGGGAAAGCAGAGACAGGTGGGAAGCGACTGAGCCAGGAGGGGAACAGCAGACAGGCCCGGGCATGGCCAGAGTGCGTCTGGAGACGTGGTCACCAGGGAGGATCTCTGAGCCTCTTGCCTCAAATTCAAATCATTCTAAATGTACAGGGAAGGTTCCAGCAACTGGCTGGACGCTGAGGCTCCTGCACTGTCCCAGGCCCCAGCAGCAGAGCTGCCTGCTCCAGGTTTAAAATTAAAAAAAAAAAAAAAAAAAAAAAAAATGATGTCAGCAGGAGGTTGGGGCAGGAAGTTTCTACCATTATCCTCCCAGAGAACGTTGATATTTAAGTTTTTAATTTTTAATCTTTTATATTTTCCTTTCCCCACTGCCATCCCTTATAATCCCGAGTTCCTTTCTCCTTCCCCCTTCACCTCAGTCCAGTGTTTATTAATGTCCACTAGTTTTTATAAGTTTTTAACTGTTGACTCATCTGCTGTGTAAATATCCATGTTTGTCATTGTCGTTCTGGCTTAGCTTATTACTCATCATTCCCTCGAATTCTCTCCATTCTGTTGACAATGGCTGCATTTGCTCCGTCCTATGGCTGAGGAGTAGCCTGTGGTGTGGCTAGACCACATCGTTATCCAGTTGCTGTTGATGGACAGCGAGGCTGCGTCGGTGACCCGGCTATTGTAAATACTGCTGCAGTGAATGCTCAGAGCAGGTGGTTTTTCGTGTTGGTAGTTTTATGTTCTTTAGATAGATGCCCACGAGTGGGATTGCTGAATCAGATGGCATTTCCACTTTTAGTTTAAAATACATCCCGATGACTGTCCACCAGTTTACATTCCCACCCACTGTGTTACAGGCTCCTCTTTCTCTGCATCCTCCTGGCACTTGCTCATTGGGGGTCTTTTTAATATGTGCCGTCCTCACGGGTTTGGGGTGGCGTCTCTGTGTGATTTTTAACTTGCGTCTCTCTTTTTTTTTTTCTCAAAATATTTATTTATGCATACAAGAACTGGGGTACAGGCCAGAGGCTCAGGGGGTGAGAGGATTCACCAGAGACGGAGCAGGGAACAGAACAGGCAGATCTACTGAAACACACTGCTGAGGGGAGCAGCGGGCGAGTCAGGAGAGGTCTGCTGCGCCATGTGGGTAGCTCCCTGGCCTGCCAGGGATCAAACTTGTGCTGCAGAGGCTATGGACAGCTTCATAGTGCAGTGCTTAACCCCTTGTGCCACCAGGGAGGCCCTTAACTTGCGCCTCTTGTTGGAAGTGATAATGAACACTTTTTCTTAGGTCTCTTGGCCTGAATATCCTCTGTGGTGAATTGTCTGTTCATATCTACTGCCCACTTAGCATTTGGGTTGTTTTTTCTATTGTTGAATTGTATGCATTTTTAAGGTATGTCTTGGATATCAACCCCCTGTGAGTTATATATTGTGTGAATATTTTCTCATTCAATAGGATGCGTTTTTGATCTTGTATTTTCTCTCACTGTAATATAAATTTTTAACTTTCCATAATGGAACAAACCTGATTGAGAAAGATTGGCACTGGTTCTTCATGGTTTGATCATATTCATTCATTTCTAGAGGTTTTGTCTTTGGTTTGTTCAACTTTTCTGTTTCTTCCTGGTTTGTTTTTTTTTTTTTTTTGGTGGGACCCTCGCCGGTGGCCAGGGATCGAACTGGCGCTGCAGAGGCTGCAGGCAGCCTCGCAACCTAGAGCTCAACCACTGCGCCACCAGGGGAGGCCCGTTCCTGGTTTAGTTTTATAAACTGTATTCACCTAGGAATTTATTCACTTCTTCAAGGTTGTCAAATGTATTGGCATATGCTTGTCCATAGTTAATCTCTTAGCCTTTGTATTTCTGTGCTAGCTGTGTAGCTTCTCGTCTCTCCTTTGTGATTCTATACATTGATGTTTTCTCTTTGTTAGCATAGCTAGAGGTTTGCTATTTTCTTTGTCTTCTTGAAGAACCAGCTCTTAATTTCACTGTATCTCTTGTATAGACCTTTGGATCTCTATTTAGTTTCTTTCCACTCTTGTTATTTCCTTCTGACTTTGCATCTTACTTATTCCTCATTTTTTCTGTTGCTTTAGGCATACTAGATTATTTGGGATTTTTCTAGCTTTTAGTAAGGGCCCGTGTTGCAATTATCTTCTCTCTTGAGATCACTTTTGCTATAGATTCCAGTTGCTTGTGTTTCCCATTCATTTCGGGATCTGAAAATTGGATAAGCCCACGTTTTTGGCCACTAACGATCTAGTTAGGAGAATTCCATTCCCAGTGTCAGACGCTGTGTGTCTCCTTCCAGATATGGGGAAAATGAGCTCCCGCCAGGTGATGACCTTCGATCTGCTTGCTAAATGATGGACTGATAGCTAACGTTTATGAAGCCCTTAATGGGTGGGGACTATTCTTATCATTGGTTTACATCTGGGGAGACTGAGGCACAGGCTGAATTGTGCTTACCAAGTGTGATTCACATATAAATGCAGAATACAGGCTTCAAAAAAAATTTTTTAGATGATTTCTGGTTGCCTACTCAAAAAAATCGTGAAAGGTTTTCCGAAAGTGAGTTAAAGCCTGTAGCGCCCAACTATAGCAACAGTCGTGAGAGGGCAGAGTTGCACGGGAGGGGTGTGACTCTGGGCAAGTATATTTTGTGTCCACATAAGCATTCTGAGTTCTCTTCAGGTCAGCATTCAGCCCCGTCCTGGTGGCCCTGTCTCACAGGATCTCACAGTGCAATAAGTAAAATTATTGCACTGGTTATGAGAGCGGTGAGCTCCCCAAATGCTCTTCAAGAAACTGTCCCAGATCCTATAGTTGTAGGTTCTGGAGTTCTTTGGGGCATCTGGCTAATCTTGTGCAACAGGGACTGGCTGGTCCCTGTCACCAGAGGCAGACTATGGCATTTCAAGGCTCGCACTTCCAGCAGCCTGGCCCCACGATGGACTCTGAGCTCGGGGCACCCTGCCCTGCCTGTATTGCTGCTTCCAGACACTGGAAGGGAGCCTAGGAAATCCCCACCAAAGCATTCAAGTGTGGGATGGGGTGGATTGTGCCCCCAAAACATAGCCTGGGGCAGAGACCTGTGTCCCTGGAGTGTATGGGGAACACTGAAGAGTGGGGTGAAGTTGAAACAATATGTTTAGACGTAAATAGCAGTTACTTCCAAACTCCTGGGTGTTTCAGTTATAGGGACAAAAGGCTATTTTAGGAAAAAGCCAGCTGGAAAGTTCTAGCATTTATAATGGTGATAAAATGCTTTATTGAAAAGAAATTTTTGGAATTTTGTAAGATATTCAAGCCAAAGAGGACTGCTCTTGCCTTCCATGTGACCAGCTCAGTCTCGTTGGTGACAAATGTTCTGGGCCCCCTGGGAGCGAGGCTGAGGGGCATGTTGTAAATCTACCTGGATGCTCGAGACACAGGTGACACAGAGCTGCAGCGGAGAGCAGGGAGGGAATCAGACAAACCAGGCGACCTTGTGGCTGTGTCTCCTGGGGCCCGTGGCTTCTGAGAGCCCGTGTTAGGTGTAAAACAGGTGAGTCCCAGGGCTAAGCACATGGTGTACGCAGTGGCCCTTGCAGTGGAAACGCAAACAGCATCCGAGAGTGAGAGGACAGACACCAGTCACCATTGCTTCTGACTGTTTTATTGCTAAACTATCATGATACAAGCCGTATAAAAATACTTTACATATAGCAAAAATAAACTACATTAAACAGGAGATTAAAAACATTTTGCATAGGAATGTGATGTATTCCAACTTATCAGTCAAGCTTTTCAAAGCCTTCCAGCACCACCTGTTGGAGAGCGTTATTGTTGGAGAGCTATCACACAGGACACCCCCAACATTTTCTCCCCTCTGAGGGCTGCAGAGGTGACCGGGGCAGTGAGGCTCTGTGACAAGAGGCGCAGACGCCAGAGCTGCCCTCTGCTCAGGCCAGTCAAAGCTGCGTGCTCAGGCACTGACTGAATCGGCGCCAGTGGTAGCCAGTTCATCCAGACCCTGAATTTCATGCAGCCAACAGCCGCGTCAAGACGGAGGGCGAGCGCTGCTGCCGGCACCCAGCACCCCATCTCCTTTCCAGAGGGGCTTGTTCAGGGAGCATCCCTGGTGCACCAACCACTAGAAAAGTTTGTCTGAAACAAACTTCAGTTAAGACAGTGATGGCGGAAACACTGGGGAAAGCAAGGGCAGTGTTGTCCCTGTCGCTCCTCAGTGGTGCATCTTTCTCTTAAACTTGGAGTCAGAAGGTGGGAAAACACTGATTTGGCTCCATGAGATTAATGCCCGAGCCCTAAGCTTGGGAAAGCCAAAGGAAGTCGTGTGGGGTACCTGCTGCCAGAGGCTGTCCCTCCAGAAAGTGAGCTGGGGGAGGGCTGCCCCGTGTGTCCAGAATGGCACCACCCCGAGCCTCTTGTAAACGCGTGAACAGTCGCCAGCCAGACCCCTGACAGTCTTTCAGTTCTGAACAATAGCGCTTAGAGAGTGTTTTTGACATGAAAATAAACATTCAGCATCCCTGGAGTCCAGAGTGACCATTGGACCAGCTTCCAACCGGCCCGGGTGTGGCCACTCCCGCACCCCCGAGCTGCGTGGGAGCCGGACGTCTTGGCCACTGGGTGTGCGTGAACAAGGCACGGCCGGGCTCCCCAGGTCTCAGAAGGAACTGGCCGAGCTGGGAAACTTGGCCTGGCCTTTGCTCACCTGCTGGGGGTCTGCGGGTTCCAGCTCTGTAAACTTCAGCCTCGCGGGCAGGGTGCAGCGGCCGTGAACGCGTGGGCAGCCCCTCGCTACAGGCAGTTTTATAATTGTCCTTCAGATCGTCACTCGGTCTCTAGCGTGGGGCATCCGAAGACACTGCAGTTCTCAGTGACAGAGGCTCAGAGCAGAGGTCGTGGGCGTCTCGCTCAAGCAAGACAGGGGTGGGCCCTTCTTCTACCAGGTCACCCCTTCCCCAGAGGTGCTTCCTGCCAGGGGACAAGAGACTGGCGGACAGGTGCCGAGATGGGGTTTGGTTTCTTTTTTTTTTTTTTCCTGGAATGATTCCATTTCAAGAATACATCATTTCTCTTGGGGGGGGGGGGGAAATCCCTATGTAAAAAGAGACACTTAGAAAGGATTTCTGACCACTTATAAATATTCTCTAATCCCAACAGGGGTCTGATATTTTGAGGATAAAAAGCATAAAAATACAGATAAGAAAATAAAATTTAATAACATACTAATTTGGATGGCTATTATATATTATCAAGCAGCAGTATTTTTGTACAATAACAGGAAGACTTGCAAACTTTGGAAATATACTACATTCAGCCACGTGGTGGGTGTCGGCGAAGTGCTACCTATTTACAGGACCTTGACGTAGCCGGTGCCGACACCACTGCCGAGCTCCTTCCAACAGACGAGGCACTGGTCTTCACCGTTTAGACATCCTTGCTCCCTCCTCCTCTGCGAGGATCTGATCGCCTCTTCCCATACTGCAAAGACTTCATGAGCAATTACTCTGGGCGCAGCTTGTTCCTGGCACGTGGAACTGACGAGACTTTCTGGGCAGCACTGGTTCCTACACCCTTTCTCTTGCCTATGTCTCAAAGCGAATGCCCTGTCTCCTTCCCTTTGCTTCTCAGTCACGCTGTTTCTGAAGGTGCTTCCTGTGCGCTCTAGCGAGGAAGTCTTAGAAGGAGGAGTTTAGATCTGCGTGTGTTACACACTCACGCACACACAGGAGCTGGGGCTTCCGGGAGCCCCTTTCTACTCACACACTTAGAAGATTGATGGAAAACACATTAGCCCTTTTTCGCCCGTGCACAGGGAGGCTGAGCGACTTTGTTACAATAGCAGGAAGGCACTTAGTTAGTAAGACATTCAGATAACCGAGGAAAGGCCAATTCCCTCATGTGCAACAACTGGCCCCTCGCCAGGGCAAGTGAGAACAAATCACTCACCAACACTTTAATTCCGCCCTGGTGAAGTCAGTCTTGCTGGCGGGAAAATTCTTTGGGTAAAGTTTTGTATAAGGAGCTTTTTATTAATTTGGAAGGATGGTGCCTTCCAGAACCTTGCACCCTGAACAGTGTTAGGTGGGAGAGCTGCAGCAGACGGGGGTTCCCCTGCAGGCGGGCAACGGTCTCCAGGCTGTGGCCACAGGCTGCCCGGGTGACAGGGGCCGGCAGGCCTTCGTCTAACAAATTGGATTGGGAAGTCGCTCTGTGTGCAGCTCTGGGAACACTGTGCTCTGCTGGTGGTCCCTGGGGAAGGGATCGGATGGCCCTGGGCTTGCCCCAGGGTGTCCACAGAGAATGCAAACAGACACCTCTGTGGGATAAAAACACACCTGCCAAGAACACTGAGGGACTCACTTGGCAGCAGGAGCTGCACCCATAGAGAAAGACAGCGAGGACTCTCGGGGTGTTCAGTGGAGAAACTCAAGAGTGGTCCAAGCAGAACCCACTGCGACTACGGGGTGTGCCGGGTGGCTCCGCTTCTGTGGTGATGAGGCAGCAAAAGCAGCTGGTCTTTAGGGCAGAGGGAGGCCTCCAGTAGGTTTAGATAAACTAACAACAGGCTTGGGCCGCAGGTCCTGAGCGCGAGTATCCTGCTCTGGGTGCAGGCCAGGGAGGGAATTCAGCCCTGTTGTTCCATGGAGGGGAAACCCACTTGGAGAAACACTTAGGCCTGCCAGTTGCTTCATTTCAGCAAAAATACCTGCTGCTTTGTTGCTGCTTTAGCTCTTCTGTCATGCCTCTCAGGTCAATGCACATGCTAGAGATTCCTCTTAACTACTTTATGGGAAAGCACTCTGGTTGTTAGAAAGGTTAAGGTTGTGCAGGTGCGGCCGGGGTGACCACCTCAATGCAGTGGCCCCACACGCTGCAGGGTAAACAGCACAGCTGAGAAGGCGCCACCCCATGCGGCCAGCTTTTGGAAGCTGAAAAAAGTCACATATGTCCACACATGGTTACTTAGCGCCGTGACGTTTTACCAGGCGGTCCTGTCGAGACCAGACAGTTTGGGTTTCAGGATGAGAAAAGTCAAAGCTTTAGCTGTGTGGCCCAGCTGCGCCAGGACCAGGCACTGCCCAAGTGGCCATCCGGCTTCGGTCTCCCCAGAGAGGGCTCGAGTTGCTTCAGTCTGGACTCCAGGGCCACGTGGCTTTGGTTGCTGCGAGGGAGAACTCCCTTCAAAAGGTGCAGGAGCTGTGTCTGTGACCTGGAGAAATGAAGGCGAGCGCCGGGGTTTAATGACAGTGCCACCAATTGGGGCCCCTCCCGTCTGGGGCCCTCATCTCTGGTCACGCAGCGCGGCCTGGTCCAGTGTGCTGCCGGGGGCTGAGGCGGTTTTGGTCAGCAGGCACTTGGGGTTTGGATGGGACACGGTCAGAGGCAACTGAGATGCTCTTTGGGGTTTAAAACAAAAACCCAGAGGCAGAGTTCTCCCTGGTGTTTAGAGAGAGGTGTGAGCTCCTTAGTGGGGTCAGTTCTGCCAGGACACGGTCCCGCAGGTGGACTCCGGCCAGGAGACGGGCAGTAAAGGGAACGAGGAGAAGGCTCCGCGGGGTCAGCTACAGAAGGTGTCTTGTTAAGGGCAGCGTCTACGTCTGATTTCTGGCAGGAGGTCCTGAAAATTCCTTCCTGATAATTTCATTTACTACAAAAGAGAGAGAGTAGAGGCGTGTGAGAGAGAGAAGGCCAAAGCCAGATCACATTGATTTTCTAGAACCTCACAATTGGGCTATTGTTTTACAAACACATTTGACAATTTGTAACATAAGAAATGCCGCCATGGGTGGTGATTTCCAGGCCATAATTTACCCAAGTAGTAACTTTTAAAAACCATAGTGGCAGAAACGTCGGTCCATGTTGTCTCCGTCTACGATTCTCATGTAATAATGTTGGTCTTTTGATTGTGAGCCACACTCCCATGACAAAAGCCAGTCAATACCTACACGACTACATCTGATAAAACACACTTCCTGACCCACAAAACTGCCAGTTCTGTAAAGAAGGGTCCTCCCTGGTGGACCGTGGTAGACGACTGGGGGTGACTGGGGGTGGGCATGGGGGGTACCATCCACCTGAGAGGTGTGACCCATACCGCCAGCTCACACACAGTGCTGTGAACCAGTGGGCCCTCAATAAAAATGATCTCATTTTAAAAAGCAAAGCAGCCCCCTGGAAAGAGCCACCCCACGTGGCCGACAAGACTGGCCATCCCGGTAAATGGGATGGCACAGCAACGCGCCCCCTGGTCTCCCAGGAAGGATTAAATTGTAAGTTTTCAAAGTGGGGCTTGTCCTTAGAGGTGCTCTGGAAAGTTCAGGTGCCTGCCCCCCAGGACTGTGGGATTCCCAGACACAGGGCCAGCATGTCCTGAGATGAAGAGGAGCCTCTGCAGGAGACACCAAGCTTGGGACAATGAGGTCTGAGATCAGTGGCTCCTGCAAAGCGGCTTCCCTCGATTCTCGGGAAGAAGTGGCCCTGGAGTCAGCCCAGACCCAGGGTGAGGGCCACCTGGTCTTGAAGCTGGGTGGTCCCGGGGTGGAGAAGGAGGAGAAGCAGGGGTCCCAGCAAAGGTAGCTCAGTCTCCCTTCTCCTAGTTCTGACACTGAATTTTCCCTCCTCCTCCTTTTCTGTCTTCCTCTCAGCCTGTCCCTGCTCAAGCTGGCCTCCTGAGTCAGGAGCTTTTTCCTGGAAACACCCCGCCTGGGTGAGTCTGTGACCCCCCACTTGAAGAGGGGAGCAGACACAGACTGCTGTGGAGCTGGGTTAGGTTTAACTCTGTGCCTCAGTTTTCTCCTCTGTCAGTTTTCTCCTACATGTGACCTTTCAGGGCTTGTGTGGATGTCAGGCATCGGGGTTCACAGGAGCCCCCCAGTACGATGCCTATTCTGCAGGGTTCTGGGGCATGTGCGGCCATGGCCAGTGATGCCCCCACCTCTGTGTGGGACGCTGCTTGGTTTCACTGCGTGTGAGAAGCCGGTGGGATCTGCGTGCTGAAAGCCTGGCCGGGGTGCTCCGAGTGCAGGCTCAGGAGCCAGAGGGCCAGGGTTAGAGCCCCACCCTGGCCTGGGTAGAGGGTGGCTCCATGCCTGTTTCCCCATCTTTTCTGTGTGTAAAGATGTTATCTTCCCGGGTTCTTGAGGAACCAGGCGGAGATAATGCAAGTGAGAAGCGACCCCAGTGCCTGGGGCGGCGGGTGCGGGCTGGGGGCGTGCGGGGGCGTGTGAGAAGCGGCTGTTAGAATAGCTGGCGGCTCCCAGCAGGGACCGGTGCATTGGGAGCAGCTCTGAAGATGGACTCGCATACCCAGCACAGGGCGGTCACTGTCCACAGTTGCCAGCTACTCCCAGGGGCCAGCCCGGCCCTTCTGAGAGCAGCGGCAGTAGTGAAAGCAGGCCTGGGGAGGTGGGGTCAGGGAAGCTTTTCAAAGCCCGGATCCCAAAGGGCTTCCTGTTTTCTCAACCTAGGAAACCAGAGGAGTTGATCCTCAGTGGAAACTTCCTGCAGCCTTGGCTTTCTAAAAATAGCCGGTGGGCAGCGAGGTGGGCACAGCGGCCCTCACAAAGCGGTTGTTCCCACTTCAGAACACGGGCGGGGGCCCGGAGCTGGCCAAGCAGCTTCTCCCTCCCTTGGGGGGGGTGAAAATGGTCCTGGGTCCTGAAAACTGCTTTCAAGCAGGAAGGAGGAGTTGCCTCTGGAAAACCCAGGAGCTGAGCACCCAGACCTGCCTGCCACTGGGGAGGTGGACAGAGAAGGGGTGGCAGGGACCCTCTCCGAGGAGAGGAAGCTCCAAGCTCACTCCCTAGCTGTGAATGAGAAAGTTCTGGAGGAGCATCTTGGTCAGCAGCCACATCAGTCTGAAAACTGGGCCTCAAAGGGAGGTCTCTGGCAGGCCAGTTCACCCAGACTCAAGTCTCTGTCCTGAGGAGGCCCCACCTTCACAGACCTGAGGGTTTGGGTGGTGGGGGAAGGACAGGGGTCCCACGGCCCTTTACTCACTCTATGATGCCCACCACGGACCCACTCCCTGAGGAGGTCTTCCCACTCAGCCAGCATGCTCCCTCATGCTCCCTCAGCCAGCACCATTGCTCCAGGCCCATCCTCCATCCGAAACCCCACGATCTCATCCCTGTCGGGCCCTCTCTACTCTCAACCACCCCGGCTTCCATTCTGCACTCGCCCCTGTCAACTCGTGCCTCTTAGCCTCTGCCCTCGCTGGTGTCCCTGCCTCTTCTAACACTGTCTTCCTCACTCTTCTGTCACACTTGCTCAAACACCTCCTCCAGGAAGCCTGCCTGGGCAGGATCTGCAGTGGCCACCCCTCTGCCCCCACCTGCAGTTGTGCCGGGCCCTCTTATCTCCACTGATCAGTTCCTGGCAATTCACTATATTGCTTTGTTTATGTCCCTGTCCCCATATCCTGAGCTCCTAAACAGTGTCTTGCACAAAGGATTACTCAGGCATGTGTATCAGCAAAGTAGACAACAAGCTCAAGGGAGTAAGAAGCGCAGGTCACAGGCAGGCCCTGGGATTTGTCCCCAGCTCTGACCCGCTATCCTGTATTATGGAGTCAGCATGTCACTCGACTGTCCCGAGCAGCGCTGCCATGCCAGCTCCCGGACCTCCGCCCAAGCTCTTCCCAAATTGGGCCACACGCAGGTCTGCAAACAGCCCTGGCCCAACACCACCTTTTCCTGGAGGCCTTCATCCATTCCTGCCTTGGGGCCCTCGCTTGCTCCAGAAGCAGGTACTGCATCCTCCACACATCTTTTGAGTGTCCTGTAGCCCCACCCTCACTGCCAGTGCCTACTGCATGTAACTTACCCTGCTGTGAGGACCCCACACTGTCAGCCTAAGTCACTGGGGGGTAGGGACACCAATTGCTACCCTATGGACAAATGGGTGGCTGGTCTGTTATTTGCCTGGCACCAGTTCTCCACAAAAGAATGCAAGCTGGTCACATATTCAGAGTTTCCTATGTGCCAGTCACTGCACAAGGCACTAAGTCACCTCTCACACCAGACCTGGTGATACGCTCACCCTTGTGTTAGAGGGGAGAGAGAGACAAGCAGTCACGTGCATGGCGGGGTATGGGGTCAGGGCTGGAACCCAGGCCCGTGTTAGGAGCCCACAGGGCTGTGCAGCGGGCAGAGACTGTGCTGTAAAGTTCAGTGTCATCAGGTTTCTTCTGGGGCCCGGAACCCTCAGCATCTACGTGTGAGTCAGGAAGGACAAAGCAGCTGCTGCTGAGAGTGGGGAGGGCCGAGGGCTGAGTGGTTAGTGGTCAGCAAGCATCACTTTCTCAGAGGAGAGCTGAGGCCAGCGGTGTGCAGGCCTAACCTCTCATCACCCCAGCGAGAGGCGCGGGACGAAAACACTGACGTGGTGTCTAGAGCCTCGGGGATTTCTCAGCCTGACACCTAATGCTGAAACCAGAAAGGAGCTGGACGGAGGTGAGTATATAAAAATTATGCATTTTTCTCTGTAAAGCTCCAAAAAGAAATCTAGGGTACATTTTCAGGGTTTAGATGTGTGTGTATAAATACATACATGTAACAAAGGGTCATTCATGTATATAAAGGTGTTACAAGTCAGTAAGAAAATTATAACGATTCTAATAAAGAAAGCTGCAGACATAAAAAATATATAGCAGGGGCAACCAACTTGTTCTGTAAAGTGCTGGATTAAAGTATTCTCAGCTTCGGGGCCTCTATGGCCCCTCCTCGAGCCTCGGCTCTGCTGTTTTCGTCTGAAAGCAGCCGTGGACAATATGGGAGTAAAAGGAGCTGAGCTGCATCCCCCACAAACCTCCCTCACAAAACAGGCTGGAGCTGGATTTGGCCTGAGATGTAGTTTGTCAACCCAGGGTATGTCCCAATGCAAAGAAGGAAAACAGCGTGTTTTCTTTGCCTATTTTTGGAGGGTGGCAATCTGGGGGTGCAGTGCCTCCCACAACTCTGCCTTGACTGAGCACTGACAGTGATTTCTCCTAGCATCCTGCCCTGCCCTAGGGATTTTCTGGTTCACGGAAAGCAGACACCCGCACACGGACCCTGCTGGGCTTGGAGCTGCCCGGCGTCCGCTTGAAGAGCTGCAGCAGAACAAGCATGGACTTAGGGGCATCTGGGGGTGGGGGTGCATCTATGCTTTTCCCCCTTAACTGTGAGCTTTGGAACTTAATCCCCTGAGAAAGAGGCAGCAGGAAGGAGGGGATAGGCCCCATCCTGCTTCTCTCCCAAACCTCAAGCATGTTTTCTCAGATCTGGTTAGACCACGTGCGTGCCCAACGCCAGCCTCGCCCGGGGCCAGCCACAAAGGCCACCGCCCGAGAGACACGCCCCCGGCTTGGGTGGGAATCGGGGAGGCTGTGTTCCCTGGGCCAAATCAGAACCTGAGCGCCAACACCACAAAGCCCACCCACTGCACTTCTCCTGTCCCAGCCCCTCGCCGCATTCACTCCTAGGACCTGCGCTGTGGAGACGATAGACCGGTGGGCTGGGGGGGCAGGCAGCACACTGCTTTCTGTCCCAGATGCTCGCGGGGAAGCTACCTGGAAAGCCAGGAATGAACTTCCTGAGCCTGCCTGCCCAGGAGCATGTGGGCTAAGGAGCAAAGTGGCCCTTGGCCTGGGGCCTCAAAACTGAAATG